GAGTAAAGACAGGGGAGAGGTGAAGAGTAAAGAGAATGGGAGACAGATGGGACCTGGGGCAGTGCAGAGGATTCAATGAGCGAGCCAGGAAGGAATGACTTCAGATTGTATAAACATATAAAGCTGCAACATGTCTGCTGGTTTGACTTCCAGTGAAATCTGCCAGTGGTTATCCAATGGGATTGACCTGAAGCTGATGCCTCTGATAGCTCTTGAACAGCTCTGGCAAAGTGGGAACAAACGGTCCTTGGCCAGACAGCCTAAGGCTTACGGAATGAATTTGTGTTAGGAATTAGGTGAGATGAGACATTTTTAAGGACTCCAAATAACTTTTTCTTTTGTTGTACAATGTCAGATCAAGGTGTACTGTTTACCAATAGAGAATTGAGACCTTTCTCAAGAATTTTGTGTCCACCTATGATCAGGCGTCCTGGGAGCTCGGTGAGTTCTTAATGTTGAATGGTTGAACCCAACAGGTGGTGTCTTGCATAGTCCTAACAACAAGAGGGGAGTCATAGCACAAAGGTCTGGACCATAATCATTTGCCCTTGCTCTTGATGTCATAAGACTTTGTGACTGCTCAAAACAGAAACCCAGAACTACAAAGCTGGAAAGTCCTAAAAACATTCTGTCCAAATTACAGATGAGGAAACTGAGGCCTAGGGAGGTGAAGGGACCTCACATGCTAGAATGGAATGAACACACTCTAGCCTTGAGTCACAAGACCTCTCTCTACGTATGCCACTGGTTTTCAGTCTTTTCCTCTGTAAAGCCATATTGATAACCGCCTACAGTGCCCACTTCAGATGAGGTAACATGGAAGCATTTTCAAAGTGAAGCACACAATGTAAGAGTAAGTTATTAGTGCTGTTAAATTACGAGTAGTAATTTCACAATGCACTTAGAGGTATCATTATCCTCATCCTCTTCTTGGACAATCCAGTAACATCATCAAGCTTAATTATTAAGCACTTAATTGTATGTGAGGCTGTGCTAGACTTTTGCTCTTAAGAGATTCTTATTTTTGTTTTCTTAAGAGCTCAATCTGAACCAAAGACACATAGGTAGGGTATAAATGCCAAACAGATATTGATCCATTTATTCATTCAACAGGCTCTTGTACATGCATATGTGTGTGTGTGGCAGGTGTAGTCTGCTACATTCAGATTTTGTGCAAAATGCTGGGGGTTCCAGTGAGGAGCAAGTCAGACGTTATCCCAGCCTTGTGGAATTATAGTCTAGTTGAAATGGGGAAGGAGAAAAGGGTTAAAAGGAGCAATTGTACAATAACTATATATTTAACCATCTGATAAAAATAAAAAGTCTAAAAATTGCTTTTAAAGCATAACAGGCAGAACTAACCTGATCTTAGCTGTCAAAGGAGGCCATCCCAAGGAGATAACATTTAAACTGAGAATAAAGAGTGAGAAGAAATTGGCCAGGCATAAACTATGCACCGTTCTTGAGAAAGAAGTGATTGGGATAACTCAGTGGCAGAGTAACAGAAGTGTCACGAGCCAAGGGACAGGGAAATGAGGGGTGCCAATGAGGCTGAAGGACATGGTAGGCATAGGAAGAGTTTGACTTTGAAGTGCCAAGGAAAATCTGTGAAGGATTCAAGCAAGAAGGAGTGATCAAATCATTGTTTCCTGTTTAAAAGGTCACTCTGGCTTTGGTAGAAAGCATGGACTAACAGAACAGACTATAATATGTGCAGATAAAGTGATTTCTGGGATTTCTTTCAAAATAATCTAGGACTGGGGGAAAGAAGAGGTGAAACAAGACTAGGCACATGTCAATCACATCAAGACTGATTGCTCTGTGCCTAGAGTCCCTTTTACTGTCCTCTCTACTTGCATATATTTGAAATTTTCCGTAATAGAAAATATAAATGGATGTCTTATACAAACTCAGAATGGTGTGCATGAAGATTGCTAGCCTGTGTAGAAGAAGTGAGTTCAGCCTTCATAAGTGAAGGGAAACAGAACTTTAATAATACAAATATACGGAAAGAGTAAATGATGTGAGCCACATACAAGCTGTCCTGTGGGTTTCAGCTACATGTTTGAATCCAGGCAAGAATTTAAGCTTCCTTGGCTGGACATCTACATCCCCCCTGGTCTTTTTGTGCAACAGGTAAAATTAGTTAGTGATTTTTAACATGCTCATTTCTTCAGCACTCTTGAAGAGTCTGTTGCCTTCTCTGGAAGTATCCTTCAAGCCCAAGTCGGTAGCTCAGTACACCCAAAGAAGCATATTTAACAAGTAAAAAACAGGAAAGAGAAGGAGTGAGTCCTTACAAGAAGACTCTGTCCCAAACTGATACCATTGTAACCCTGTGAGGTCCTTTTTCTGCCTGACTGAGTGGGCCAGGAGAGGCAGGAAAAGCCAAGATTTCCAAACCATCCCGTCACATTCCCACCCCTGGCTCAGTGTGGTGGGTCGTCTTGATGTGGCTTCCTGAGATTTCCTAATGATTTTTCAAAATAGAATGTCGGAACTATTCCTGTAATTGGTCTCTACAAGATATTCCATTTGCCTTTTTTATTGTTTTGTTTTTTTCCCTTCAAAAGGAAAAGCTCTTTAAATTCCCTCTGTTTAAATGGAAGGCATTATTAGTGATCCTGGATCTGGAAACTGTTCACAGCCCCATTGGTATAACATGCCATAGAGTTACAGATTCCCTCAGTGCCTCCTCTATGTAATGATGTCTGTGAGTTCCCTGCATTCGGAGTGGTGAAAGGAATGGTATCCCTGTCCAGCATCCCTCTGAGAGTGCGTGGTTGGCAAGGAGGCTCCAGACTCTTTTGACTCCTAGTCCAAGATAGCTTCCTACGTCTGCCCTTCCTGTCATCACCTTCATCGCTCCCCTCCACCTCTGCCACCCCCAAGATTGTGGACATTGAGTTCCTTGTGTAGGACTATCCTAAAATCCCACATAGACACGGAGAGAGGACAAAGGACTCACTTGTAAAAACACCTCACATGGAACACAGGATCGGTGGGTAGGGCCGTAGTTAGAAGACACAGTTTTTAGCCAGGACTTCTGCTTGAAAAAAGAAATTCTCCAATCATTAACCAATGATCCTTACAACTAAAAATAACCCATGAGAGGACTATTTTCTTGCAACCCTTTGTCTTTTGCATCTTTGCTTAAATGCATCTGGTAAATTCATGTGCCTGCTCTGAATAGCCCACATACTCCACTCTCAGAAATAGATTATTAAAATTGGTGATATCCTTAGAAGTTAACACACACAAAAAAAGATATCCAAAGATACACACATTTCTATAATGAATAGATATAGGTTTTTCAGATTGCTGACCTTAAAGTTTGGGGGCAGGGAGGTTTACTATTTTGGGGGAGAAGGGCTTGCTTTTGGAATAAATACTAGATGTTTTCTTTTTTTAACACTTATTTTTTAGTTTTAGGTGGACACAATATCTTTATTTTATATAACGTGGTTCTGAGGATCAAACCCAGTGCCTCATGCATGCTAGGCGGGCGCTCTACCACTGAGCCACAACCTCAACCCCTAGATGTTTTCTGTTGTCACCATGTTATCAAGTTTCTAGGCTGGCACTAAATTATGCCAAAATGTTGATAACCATGACACAAAAGAAAAGGCATAATTTGCTTAGGGCTTCTGACTTTTGCCCATGTAGCTCCAGAAAAGAGGGACTGGGAAGGTCCTCAATGAGTCCCAGAGCTTGGGAAGCTGATGCCCATCTCAGAGGTTAGGCTTCTTTGCTGAATCAGCACCTGTGAGAAAGCACGTGGCTTCGTGCTGATTCAGGTGAAGTCAGCACCCTGGTCTCTGAGCTCACACGGGTGTCCAGGTTAGATAAGTGCTGAAAGGTGTTTGGTGCATTCTCCTGAGTCACCTTTGTCAGCTCTGGAGTCCTCATAAATTGGCATCAGGAGGAGATTATAGAGTGCTTTTGTTCCAAAGCTTTACAGAGACTAATGGGTGTGTGTACGTGTGTGGGGGTTATCTGTCATTGAACCTATCGGTTTCATCACCCTGAGCACTGCCTGCAGGAACCCTGCTTGCTTCTGTGCACACAGGAAGGGGGAACCACAGTGAATTCTATAGTGATTCTCCTATAATGTGTGAGTCCCACTTCTGGGGACCATTGATTAGTACCCTCTCCCTTTCCCAGTTCTCTCCTGGCAGAGGTTGGAATGCTCAAGAGGGTGACCAAAAAATGGGCAGCCATGAAGAAGCTTAGAAGGAGAGAGAAAAATTAGGACCAGAGTAATACAGAGGGTCCAATTCCAGATCATTAAAGAAGCTGGTATTTCAAATACTGGTACAGGGAAAATCCAAAAGAATTAACCAAAGACCCTGTCATAAGAGGGCTGATTAAGATGTTGCCTGCCAGCGCTTCCCCAGGACTGGAGTCCCCATGAGGGGATGGAGCTGTTCCCCCCTCATACTGAAGGTCCTGTTGGGGTTAAAACCTTCTAGAAGTGGACCATTGACTCTCAGATCAAGGCTAGTATTGGCAAATAACAGAAAAGCACTGATAGTTCTAGAGACTTCATATATGGTGGGTTGTTTTTTTTTCTGATTAAAGTTACTGCTATCAACTTTTCCCCCTCATTAGATTGTGTTTCCTGAGAATGGAGGTCCTAATGTTTTATTTGTAGGCGGCAATGTAATAGATTTCTTTTTTTAATAGAGTACTCCCACCATGTGCCTCTTTTATCTCCATCCCAACTAGGAAGATAAAAATGTCAAAGGCTTTCTGAAATGAGTGTGGAAATTTTTCTGTGTGGAGATTTGCTAAGCCATGTCAGGTGGATCTGAAGAGCTTGTTTGCTTTAGATTAGAAAAACTCTTTTATTAGGAGGAGATAAAGCACACTGTATAGTGTCTCTGGTGATACTTCTCAGAATATTAGGTCAATTTTTACCTGCCGGTTAAGGCTTTGACCCACACACACCCACACGTCCATGCACCCACTGCTTCATTAACAAATTTAAGGAGAGCCGCTTGAACAAGTTTTATTTTATTTTTTTATAAAGAAAAATCTACTTCACACCCAAAGAACATAAGGTGTCTGTGGCTCAAGGAGGTACAGTCATCTTCAAAATGTCAGCTCTTTTCTCCCAGAGTTTTAATGAAGGACAGAGGCAGACTGAGGAAACAGGATAAGATCCTAGAATCTTGATATCGGCATAGACCATCAAGGGCACCTACCTGACACCTGAGGGCCAGTCAGGTTCTCCTGTAAATCTTTCCAATAAAAGTCACGTTCCTCCTAGGAAAGCTCTTTGCATCACTTAATGGCCTTGAGTGTTTTTTTAAAACTTGCTTTTATTTTCTTTGTGGCATATTTACATATGCCTCCTTTAACTTCTATGCCCTGAACTTAACGTCTCTGATATAAAGCTGCCCAGTCCCTTTTCTGGCCAACAGCTCTTCAGGCACTTGAAAATATTAACAGTGCCCTTTCTTCTGCAACAGAGAGACCCTGGGTGTTGAAGTCAGGTGGTCAGACTGAAAGATTCCTCAGGTTCTCCCCAAGACTATTATTTTTCTCCTCCTTCTTTTAGTGCCCATTTGGTCTCTTATGCAGTCCACAAAACCAAGGGGGAAAGAATGTCACATGGGCCAGGAGACTGGTTCCCCAGGAAGTGCTAGCTAAGGAAACCCACCAAGTGCTATGGATCCTCAGGGGAAGTCCTCAGTGTCTGCCAGGATTCCTCTCAACCTAAGTCTCTTTCTCTGCTCTTTAAGCCAGAATCCAAATGATAAGATTGGTCACCTCAGGAAGAATTGAGACATACTGGTGGAGAGCAAAGGCTTCTAGTGTCAGGCAGACCTGGACTCCGATTCCAGCTCCACCACTCCCAAACCATGTGGCCTGGGCAGGTTGTGAATGGGTCTATTCACAGTTTCCTAATCTGTAAAATGGGATTAACAATCATAGTTTCCCTAAGGGTTATATAGAATGCATTTGAAACACTTAAACTAATACCAGGTGCAATACTAGGGTATTTAATCTGGCTCCCACCTATTAAGGTGTAACATTTACAAAAACTGCTCCCATCTTTTCTCCACCTTCCTCACTCGTGCAGCTGCCACTTCCCAAACCAGTCTAGACACCTGACAGGGTCGTCCATTGCTGTAGCCGTGCAGTGTGCTATGAATTCCATCCAGATCTGATCTGAGCACACTGGAGCAGTTCTTCTCCCTCCTGGCGCGTCCTGTGCGCCACAGCAGCACCATTCTGTTTCAGAGCCTGAACTCGGGAAGATTGCACTTAGCTTTCCCAGAGCTACTTAGGAAATCCATTGCATGTCCTCCCCTTCCTGCCAGCCCCATCCCGCTCCAGTGGACTGTGTTCAGCCTCACTCAGATACATATCTGCCTCTTCCTTCTGTGGGAAAGTGAGTTATTAACAAGGGGTCAAGGCTCTACTCCCCCTCTCCTCCCATGTTGCCTCACCTGCCAAGTCACATGCCCAGCCTTCTCCCTGTGTCATCGCCGCTCTGAGCTGGAGGGTGCTACTGGCTCAGATCTGTGCCTCCCCACCTTAGCTAGTATGAAGGGAAATGAAAGAACAAGGTTGGTGACTGAGCTTCGCAAGTGGGTCAGACTCTACCTGTAGCAGTTGTACAAGACACAACTGCCATACACACACACATTGGGCCAGCATTTGTTAGCCCTGGGTGGCCTTCAGGCTGGGTGCCCATGGTGAGGTTGGCCATCTTGGCAGTTGAACCATACTCTGTTTTGTGTCCTGTGCACTTTCTTTGCCTCCCTCCCCAGGACTCTTTAGAACCATAAAAAGCCTTCTTCCCCTTTAGGACTGTCTCCCTGGAATATTGACGGGAATGTCCTGTGGCTTCGTTTCCTTTCCTTCTGGCTTGGCAGCGTCAGCGGCTGACTTGGTCTGCCTTTTGTTGAAGTTCTGAAATTGAATGAAAGAAGAAGGTCGTTTTGTTTACCCGTCAGCCAAATCCCAGCCATTAGGTAGAAAATGCAGGGTTCTCTGGTTCCTGGAGGAAAATGTTATTAGACTAATTTCTCTATATAACTAGGCCTCTTCTGATGGTCTCACACAGAGTTTGAAAGAAGAAAAAAAATACGTTAGTCATGGCTTACATTTTAAGGAGTTTCAAAGTATATTTGGATCCTGTTATTTCAAGAATTACAATTACACAGGGTTAGTTTAAATTCTGTCGTCTGGAACTTTTGACAACTCAAAACCAAAGCCTTCTCAGGTATAGCAAAGCCTCACAAGAAGTGATCAGTCCTGTACCTGACAGCAGCTTGACAAGTGGCTCCGTTGCTCCCCTGTGCCTGCATTGGTATCTCCCTGCTCCTGTTAATGCAGATACAATTGCACATTCAAACCCAAGTGTCATTTGTCTTCTTGTTTTAAGATTGCCTTAGAAAAGATCTGCTGTCAGAACATTGTTTTCCAAAGACTATTCCTATCATCCCACGGTTGGGCCCTGGGACTATGAGAGCAGAAACAGATCTTGTTCTCTCTCTCCTGGCTGCAAAGTGGAGTGAGAGGGAGGACCAGATGAGTCCCAGGGTTAAGGATGGCCTCAGATTTCAGTCTCTTCTCTAGTTGAGGTACAATAAAATGGACCTATAAATGGTTTTGAAAGATACTACTAATACTGTCATTTCTTGAGGGCTTTCTTTGTGTGAGGCACTTTACATTGATTTTCTCATTGTAACCTATTAGGTACAGGAAAGATCTATATTTTCTAGCTGAGGAATCTAAAGCCTAGAACAGTTAAGAAATTTTTCCAAGGCCACACAGCTCCTTAGAGCTGGAACTGGTATACAAACATTGGATAGTGGAACCTGACTGGTTACCCTCTGTGTTCTCTGTATCCCATATCCTTTATGTTTCTTTCCCCGATTTGCAGTTTTCCCAGGACATTCTTAAACAAACATCTACAAACATCATTGCGTACATTTCTCTTGAGAGCTGCCTCAGGAGGAAGCAGGGCTGATTGCTCTGCCCAGGAGTCATACCTCCTCCGCAACGTGGGAAGAATTGTGGAGCTGGCATCTCATTCTCAGGGCCAGGTGTGCCTTTGAGTCCTTCTGTACCCTCTAGTTCAGCTCCACTTCCAGGAGGGCCGCAGAAGGAAGGAGAATACAAAGTGACTCTGGGAGTCCTTGACCCGTCTCCTACTCTCCAGGGTGAGGCCTGCATTTCGGGTGGAATCAGACTTTCTGCCCCGGGCCCTCACTCACACTCTGCAGCTTATAAAGTGCTTTTGTTGGCCCCAGTAAATGTTCTACTTCCTTTGGTAAATGTGTTCAGAATCTTCCACGAAGTCACATTATTTTCCTTTTTGGCTGACTTTCTCATTTGGACCACAGTCAGGCAGAAGGTTAGTTGAGGTGAGGCAAGTTTTAAGTGTGACCCTTCAACGTGGACCAAAGTGATTGCTCTAAACACCGTTGTTGTTAACTTTTTTGGCAGTTGGGTTCCATTAGGGACATAAGCAAATGGAGCAACTTCTCTGTAAAAGCATTATGCTGTCACCATTCACAGCAGCGGGAGCTGGATGTTTGGGAGAATCCCGTGCTGGGCCTAGGACTGCAAGGCCGTCAAGCCTCCTACTCTGCACACCCTTACCAGTGTGTTACAGGACCAATTTCAGGCCTGCAACGGGTGTGGCATGTTTCCTTAACTCCCTGTCTCTGCTTCTTTGGAGAGGTGTAGTCATTGAGGGGATATAAGTCTCTCCTCCCAAAATTACTATTCCTTTAGCACTCCCATCCCCACCTCATCCTTGGAATGGTTCCTGTCCTGGTTTCTGTTTGTTGATCCTCATCCTCTCTGTCTTCCCCCTGAGCTCCTCCAGCTCTACTCCAGCTGGTTTTCTTCTCTCTCTGGGTAGGGGTCAGAAGCCATGAAAGTCAGCGAGTGATGTCAGCCAGGTTTGGTATTAGGGAGTGGACTGACGAGTGTCCAACGAGGGACCTTATATCCTACCAGAAGAGGCAGGCACTGCTCAACTCCTTCTGTGAAGGAGTCTCAGGCCCAGGATATCCCATTTTCCAAGAGAAGTTGGACAACCTGACTTTCATATGATGTGACATTTCCTAGTTTTTATATGTTGAATGAGTAATTAAAATTATTTTAAAAGACACTATGTGGACTAAATAAATGTATCTGAGGGCTGGAACTTGTCTTCTATTCATGTTCATTCTCTCTCTCACTCTCCACACACACAGTCTAGCCTGCCCTCCCAGCTTCAGCTCTCCCGGCTTCCCCAAATGTCAGTGTCTCTGAGAGTTAGATCTCTAACCCTGGCCTGCTCCCCAGATTTACATGGATAGGCATCTGCATGTGGGGCCTGACTGCCTCAAATGCAAAGCTGAGCTCATCAGCCTCCCAGATTTGGCAAGACTGTAAGATCTTGTCAACTCCAGTAACAAACAGAGAAAGAATCGCCAAAGATTAATAAGCCTACTTGAGAATTGACATTGCACCGACCATAGTAAACTATGAGGTTATTCAAGGAGGTTGAGGCAAGGGGAGTTTTTACAGGCCCAAAGAGGATTACATAAATTAACTTGAAACAGTAATCCTTGGCTACCAGGGATAATAACAAGGTTGCCATCTGTCTAGAGTTGAACAGGCAGTTTTAGGGGTAGATGTCCTTGCAGAAGCATTTTCTCTGTTAGACTGTAGTGGCCTTTGTGCAAGGATACTGAGTCTTTTGTCAGAGTCTTTTGTGACATAGTCTCCCAAGTTTATGTAGTTTGTATTGTTAGAGTTTTGACACAAGTAACTCCATTTTGATCCTGACAACTTTTCACAATCTCACGAAGGGCGAGTTATTTTTGTCTTTGTTCCCCTGATAAAAACACTGTGACTGCTGATACTGCCTTTAATACTAATACTGCACATTAATAACCTGCTGCTTCTCTCTTGTTCCCTGCTTGTTACTCTATCAAACAGCCGGGGAGGACTCTGTGATCTTGGACTCTACTTTTTACCCCAGCCCCAGGCAGTTGGTAGACTGTGCTCCTTTTTCCACAGCCTTCTAGGACTTGCTCCCAACTTTCCCTTCCCATTAATTAGAAGCTCTCAGAGTTTCTGGACTTCTGTGTCCCCTAGCCTGTGTTAGCCTCATGACTATTCACTTAGCCACCAATCCTTACCTCTCCATGCATAGTCATCTCCTAAATCACAGGACAGCTCTTGTCACTCACCTCTCTGTAAACTTTTGATGGATCCGACTGGCTGCAGTTCCACAGCAATCCCTCGGTGCCAGCCGCATGACTCCCTGCCCCTCTGCTCATACAGCAGGTGCTTCTTGCATCTGTGCATGTGTGCTGGCTGCATGCTCAGGTGTGACTGTGGTCTTCCTTCGTGCCTACAACTGATTCTATTCATCCTCTTCATCTCCAGTCAAATGCCACCTTTGCCCTGCGGTTGTCACTTGCCTTCTCACCATCAGCCCAGTGCTGTCTGCCTGGACCAGCTCTAGATCTAGCAAGTCTAAAGGCTCTTTTTGTTTTATCCAGCTGTGTATTAGAAGAATCATTTGCCTCTTCCCCTTCTTTTGATTTGCTCCTTAATGGAGAGACACTGTCTTTGGCAACTGCACAACCCCCCACAAGCCCAGTGTATGTGCATTCAGCAGACCCCCTGCAAACCTTCGTAAATAGAATGAGAGTGTATGTGTTTGTGTGTGTTATTTAAAGAGGAGGAGGGCCATATCTAAAGGGCTTAAGCCAGTGTATTAAAATCGAAACAAAACTGCTTGGTTATTCAAAAGGATTTATAAGAATCCCAAGAGAGGGCTGGGGTTATAGCTCAGTGGTAGAGTGCTTACCTGGCATGTATGAAGCAATGGGTTTGATCCTCAGCACCAAATTAAATAAATAAATAAATAAGGTATTTTGTCCATCTACAACTAGAAAAAAAAATCTAATAGGTAAATAATATTTTTAAAAAGTATCCCAAGAGAAAATATCAAGCTTGTGAAAGGGTTATTCCAGATTTCCAGATATGTGGTTTTCAGAGGAGGAACTGCTGGGAGTTGGTCTGCTTGTTCTCAGGCAATGCTTTTTCCACAGTGCCCTAAGGAAGCTTAGATTTGGTGCCAGGGCCAGGGAAGAATGGGCAAAGTCTCTCAGCCACCAGGACCTCTGCCCCCCTGGCATATAGTGGCCTGCACTGTTCCACTTGCCCGGAAGAACAAGTTGTACCCACGTATTCACACGATGTCCTCTGCTCACATCATTGGCAGGCCTGGGAATTTCCCACAAGCCATCTGGGTGGGTTCTGTTGTCCTTGTCTCCTGAGATTTTGTTTTTTTTTTAAATTAATTAATTTTTAAAGCATTGTTATTTGTCAATCAGTTCATAGACTAGCAAGTGCTTGTCCATCAGGGATTATATCCCACTGATTTTCCCAAGGAGAGAATCTGCTCATTTCATTCTTGCAAGCATCTCCCCTTCCTTCTGGAGAAGGAAGTTTATCCAGAGAGATCCCAAGCAGTACCAGTTCTTACAGAATGGAGTAATTTATAAGACACTTACTTCCTGAGTCCATGAGTCCATGTTAACCACTCTAATGCCTGGAGTGGAAATTTCTCTGGTTGGACCTGTTCAGCTTTGAATGCGTATTTAGTTTTGGGTCCCACCTCCAAACCAGTAGCCACTGAGCCCTTTAATTCTTTCTCACTTAGAGAGAGAAGAAGCTACTAAGCCCTATCAGTGTCCTCTTTTTTAAAATTAATTCCCTTTCAATGCTTTTTTTTTTTTAGCATTTTAAAAAGTATATTCTGTCAGACTGGTTAGAAAGTGCTGCAGAGCCTCCTTCATCAATGTCATTTTCATTTGAACTGGCACTGGAGGCTCTTCAGTTTGGACACCTGCATGGCAGGGGTAGCCACCTCCAAATCCTACTTTTGTGTGCCTGCACCATCAACAAGATTTTCTTTTTATTTACTCTATAAATTCAACTCCAGAGCAGTTTCTACAAACATGGCTTTACTTTTGTGTTCACAATTCAAATTTGGAAAGGGGTGCTGCAGGGCTGCCATAGGGCTGCCATAAGTTGTCATAAGTCTGTTTAAGATAATTTGATTAATAAAGACAAAATTTTTAAAAAAAAATTGGAAATCAAATTAGTTTTAATGTCTTTAAAATTGAAAACCATAATCTGGCCATGAAAAAATTATCGTCCTATATGAGTCCTTGTCAGAAAGTAATCAAAACATCAAGGGCATTTTGCAAAAACACAATTAGCCTAGATATCTTGATGACAGCTGCACACCAAGGAACTTTCCCCATTGGTTTAAAAAAATGGGAGAGATGCAAACATTGCTTGAATGTTTGACATCGTTTATTTTAGTTTTTAGTCTATGCAGTAACAAATTCTCATTCATTAAACCCATTTAATATGGAAGAGGGGACATATTAAGAAAAAAAATTCATCTAGAACTAGGGTATCTTTGCCACATCAAGAAAAGTAGCCAACTTTCTTTTTCCTTGAAACAGAACTTTTTAAGTTTTTCATCCTCACTGCTGCTTCATACAGATCTTCCAAGATAATGACTCTCACTCTTCTCTCTGAGAGTGGAGAATCCTGGCCAGCTGAGCAGGTCTCCCTGAAAAATGGCACAGCTGTTCCTAAAAGTAGCCCCATTCATAAGATGCTTGCTGTCTGTCCACAACTGCAATTTTGGAGAAAGGCACATGATTTCACAAAGAGCTTCTTTTCTTTAAAGAGGAAAGAAAAATACTTGGTGTTTACAGAAAAGAAAACTGGCCCCTTCAGCCTTCATTTAGTGGCCATGTCTGAAATGGAAGTGGGGAAAGGCATAAATCCACACAGGCAATCATGCCTTTAAGGCATGATTCATACTGGCCGTGCTACCCGTGATGGAAAATCCAGCTCGCCAAGCAAGATGAGCTGGAAAGCCTCCCACAGGCTCGTGTGCCAGGGCTGATGCCTGCTGTCTTGTGACATAGCTATGGTACATGAAGGAATGACTGACTCTCTCTTTCTCTCTCTCAGTTCATGACCAAGAACCCCACCATGCGCTTGGGCAGCCTGACTCAGGGAGGAGAGCATGCTATCTTGAGACATCCTTTCTTTAAGGAAATTGACTGGGCCCAACTGAACCATCGACAACTGGAACCACCCTTCCGACCCAGAATCGTAAGTATCAAGACCATTATAGTCGACTTTCCTCTTTCTTCTGATGATCAGAGTCCACTGAGAAGCCAGCTACCCCCTGTGGAATGACAGACTGAAAGTCACTTGACACTTTACAGGACAGCTTCATCCAGGGGAGACTGAGCTTGCTCCTGAGACAATGTCTCTCCATGTGCCCAGGTTACTTATTACAAAGTTCTCACCCCTTGCTTGCCCTGGCTCTGTTTTCCTTAACCTAAATTAAAATCTCCTAGAGTCTAAGATGCCTGAAATGTTCTAGGTTCCCCCAAAAGAGTTTGGTTAATTGATAAGTCATTGTTCCCAGCCAATTCCCTCGTGTTTTTTAGAACATCATCGGTACCTTCCCCAAACCCCCCAAAAAGTACAGTAAATGTGAAACCTTCTTTCATTGAAACTGACTCATTGGCTTGGAGAGCCTGGGTCTGTATTAGACCCTGTGATACAAAGCTTAGGCCAGAACTGGCCAAGCCCCTTTGACTGGTGAGATACTGAGAACACCAGGGGCAACTCTCCAAGCTCTACACTGAGATCTACTCCTGAGACTGGTCCAGCTCATTGTCTGAGATCCACAGTGGGAAGGCTGAGGAACTCAGCAAGCAATAAGATCAAGAGTTACAGGGAGGAGGAGCGATCCCAAGGCAGAGAGAGAAGCATCATTGAAATCAGGTATGAGAAGTGAGACATCTAATGCTGGTGGAAATGGTCTTTTCAGCACTACTTTATTCAAATGTAAAATACACAACTCTTCCAGACAGATAGTAAGCTTCATATGCTAGGCTTTGGACACCAAGCAGCTGGAAATAAAGCCACATCCTTTAGTGGGCATCCCCCTGCCAGCTCCTCTGAGATTAGGGGAAGCTTTGCTGTCAGAGGCTGGCACCGTAATCCTGACTGCATAGCCATCCCAGCAGGGTATAATGCATCTGACTGGTGAGTAAAATTATAGGCAGTTTTATCCTAAGCCTAACATTTCCAAGAAGTCTTTCAAGAACACTCTTCAAGTGTGTAGAACTGTGTACAAACAAGTGTGACCTTACACAACCTCTATTGACAAATTTGAGCCCCTGTGCCCCTCGGTGAGGCCTGCTGAGAAGTAGCACCTTGATGAAATGGAGAATAAAGGGTGAGTGAGCCGGCTGGTTTGGGTGATCAAATTAATTCCTTAGCCTCCCAGTAGAAGGCTGGCCTGCTCAGCAAGATTTTCATGGGATTAGTGAATTGGTAGTTACCAAATGCCATAATAATACACAATGCAGTGGAATTGCTATAAAGCACTGTCTAATCATAATGATCATAACTGTAAATAATGCTCCTGAACAAGCTGCAGAGCAATTCTCCAAACTTGCTGGAATGGGCTGAGTCCCATGCAAGATGAGCAAGCCTCAAGTGCATAAAATCTGACCCTTGTTTCCTTTTTTGACAGAAATCCCGAGAGGATGTCAGTAATTTTGACCCTGACTTCATAAAAGAAGAGCCAATTTTAACTCCCATCGATGAGGGACACCTGCCTATGATTAATCAGGATGAGTTTAGAAACTTTTCCTATGTGTCTCCAGAATTGCAACCTTAGCCCTATGGGGAAAGAGAGATGGTGTGAGAATCAAAAGGGAAACAGACACTTTCCAGGAATATCCTTTGTGGGGACTCCCCAGCATCCGCCTTAGAACACCAAGCTTACCTTCAAGAAGCGAATGTTCACAACTCTGTGAAGGACAGAACTTCAACAGAGCAACTATCTCAAGTCCCGAGGGAACTGTGGTTCTGGAGGTAGTTGATACTGAAATGAGATTTTATGATGAGATTGTTCCACTCGGCCGGTGAGTTTCCGAGGCTGTTTGAGGCTTGGGATGTTAACATGACCCAAAAGGTGAGAAGTAATGAAGAAATAAACTAGGTCCTAGAAATTCTGAGCCAAAGAGGCTTTTTACTTCAAAAGACAAATGGAGACTTTCTGTGGACCACTCTGTACTTTTCTTTAAGCTGCCCAGCCCCTAAGATTGCAGTCTGCAGGAAGACTCTAATGCTAGTGAAGGATCGAAAGGTCTTTTCAAGGAAATGAGCAGCTTTCCAAACAGAACAATTCACTCTGAGGAAAAAAAAAAGAAAATGGGCATCCGTGAAACTCTCAATGAAAAGCCCAATGTTGGGCCCCAAGACAACTGTCACAGCGTATTCGCTTACCCTTACTTTCATTTATTAGATATTTATTGAGTTTCCAGTGAAAAGGTGCCATGATCCACAGTAGCGTAAGCAGTAGATTTGCCTTCGTGAAGCTTCTGTTCACTCTGGGTTCCACTAATTTACCTGAACGGTGATTGCATTCTGTGAAATGCCTCTCCACAGTACATATGTCATACTTTTTTGTCTGCACATGACCCTCTTCTTCAAAGAAGGGTCCCTGCCCCAACAGCAGGGTTAGCAGGCCAACCTCAGATGCCTGCTGCCTACTGACCTGTGGAACCTGATCACATCAATATCACTCCGGACTCAACAGTGAAGAATTGCACGCCAGTCACGTCAGTGACCAGATGTATGGCTTATGCATTAGCAGTTTATTTAATTATGTTTTAAGAGACAAAGAAGTTTGTTTGACATACAGTTTGATAATCAGAAATGGATCTTGTAAACAGGGTCTCTAGCAAAGATGGACCTTATATTGTATAACCACTTATGCAGTTGGAGAATTTTATCTGTCTGGAAATAAACGCATTTTGTAGCAAAAGAAATTTGTTTTTGTCAAAAAAGATTTGTTTTGCCCCCACTCAGAGAGTAGATTACCAATCAAAATAAAAACTTTGAGCATAATGGATAGAACTCTTGCTTAAGGCAAATTTCTGAGAAGAAAGGCTGACACATGCTTCTTCTGTATGACCCTGAAATGGACGTGGCCTATCCTTTACTGACTATTACTTCTGTTCTGAATCAGGGCAATGACTGCATTTATTGCTGCAACAGGCTAACCCTTGAAATCTCAGTGGCTAGTCATAAAGTTTATTTCTCATCCATGTAGAGTTCAACAGCCCTGTTCCATCTTCTAACCATGCCATCTGGCAAGCATAGCTCCCAACATCACCAGAGCAAGGGAAGAGAGAGATGGAGGAGGTGCTTGCTGCTTAACTACCTCTCCTCAGAGGAACACACATCACCTCTTCTCACATTTTTTGATTTGTTCTAATTAGTTATACATGACAGTAGAATGCACTTATGCACTTTGACACATCATACATAAATGAAGTATAATTTCTCATTCTTCTCTTTGTACATGATATAGAATCACACTGATCATGCAGTCATATATGTACATAGGATAATTATATTTGATTCATTCTACTATCCTTCCTACCCCCATACTCTCTTTTCTCCCTTCACTGTCCTCTACCTAATCTAAAGTAACTCTATTCTTCCCTAGAGCCTTCCCACTTAATATGAATTAACATCCACATATCAGAGAAAACATTCAGCCTTTGGTTTTTTGGGATTGGCTTCTTTAACTTAGCATGATATTATCCAGCTCCATCCATTTCTGATAAATGCCATAATTTCATTCTTCTTTAAGGCTGAGTAACATTTCAGTGTGTGTGTGTGACGTTTTCTTTATCCATTCATCTACTGAAGGACACCTAGTTTTGGTTCCGTAGTTTAGTTATTGTGAATTGAGCTGCTATAAACATTGATTTGGCTTCATCACTGTAATATACTGATTTTACGTCTTTTGGGTATAAACCAAGGAGTGGGATAGCTGGATCAAGTGGTGGGTCCATTCCAGGTTTTCTGAGGAATCTCCATACTGTTTTCAGAACATGACTTCATTCTAACTACATGCATTTTAGGTAAATATCCTACACATCCTCTCTCCACAGATATAAGTGATGGGATTTCTGGATGGGGGAATTATGGAGCAGCTGAGAAATATCCGACCAGTACTGATGGTGTGTTATAGGTGGTTCTTCTTCTTCTTCTTCTTCCTCTTCCCCTTCCCCTTCTCCGACTCTGTCTCCGTCTCCTTCTCCTCCTTCTCCTCCTTCTCCTCCTTCTCCTTCTTCTCCTTCTCCTTCTCCTCCTTCTCCTTCTTCTCTTCCTTCTCCTTCTCCTTCTCCTCCTCCTTCTTCTTCTCCTTCTCCTTCAGGGTGAAAAATTACCTTTGAATGAATAGCAACAAGAAGCCTCCCTGTAGATTTATTTAGCTCTAAGCAGTTTAGAGACAACCTGTGAACCTAGGCAGAGCTGTGACCTTTGTAATTCCACATTCTCCTACCATTTCCACTATTGATAATCTGAATACTGCAGTACATCTTACACATGAGAAAAAAGGGAGGCTCAGAGAAGTTGAGTTACTTTGCTTCCCAAAGGTCTCAGACTTGGTAAGGTGTGGATCCAGATCTAGAGTCTAAATCTGCAAGTTCTAATCCAACAAGCCTCTGGGAAAGGAAGGAATCATTCTGACTTTGGGGCTTGTTCAGCTTTCATAGCTACTTGGCAGCTCCAGGTCTTCTTTTGCTCTGTGGTATTGATTGGCTTCTTGGTCTAGTTTGTTCCACTCTGGAAAATAAAGCATGCATCCTTTATTGCTTACAAAATTCATTTTCATAGCCATGCACAGGACCCTAAATGTTCTCTTTGAGGAGTAACCATAGTCAGTTCTCAAGCCTGCCTCCTAGGTCCTCCAGTTGGAGTTAAGTCTATTCATTTGAGATCATTCCAGACCCATCAGATTAGCCCACAGCTAGTGATTTTGCTATGATAGGGTTTCTGGTCCTTCTTTCTCTTCCTTTTTTTATATGTAAGGAGAGAGGATGCACAAAATATTTACCTAAAACTCAAAATATCTCCAATTCCTGAGTAGAGTTCTGCTTCCTACAGTTTTCCTAAACCTTGCTCTCCCTTGAGATCACAAGATGCCCTGCCCATACTTCCTGGAGCAGCCTGCTATGAACTGGCAGCAAGCCATTTGGTCAGCAGGTACTGAGTCTGTTGGGATGCCAGGCCCTGAGTTCAGCAGGCAGTGAGGAGGCTAAGATGAGATCACATTGTGACCCTTCACTCCCTTAGGACTATAGCCTCTTGGATAAGGAATCTCTTTTTTTTTGGGGGGGGGGGGATGAGAAGTATAAGGGATTGAACTCAGGACACTCAACCATTGAGCCACATCCTCAGCCCTAATTTGTATTTTATGTAGAGACAGGGTCTCACTGAGTGCGTAGTGCCGTGCCATTGCTGAGGCTGATTTTGAACTCACGATCCTCCTGCCTCAGCCTCCCAAGCTGCTGGGATTACAGGCATGAGCCACCGTGCCTGGCATGGGTAAGGAATCTTGAGACACCCTCCATCCTTATTATCAACCTCCTCTCCCCCACCCAGCCAATCCTCACCCCTATACCATCTCTCCCCATTCTCCCAGGCTATCCCACACTAGCTTGTGGTCTTAAGAGTTGAAAAATAGAACTCCAAATCATTTTCTTTGAACTAGTAGCCTTTGACTGCTAATGATGTTCTCAATTAATTATAGCTAACACTTATTGTGTTTATTAGATGTAAGGCCTTGTTCTAAATACTTCAATACTATGCCCATGTGTTGGGTACACTCATCTTCATTGCATAGATAGGAAAACTGAGACACAAGGAAACTAAGTAATTTGTCCAAAGTCACACAACTAAAGCAACAGGTCCTGAATCGAGACCAGGCAATTTAGTTCCCAAGTCCCTACTTTTAGCCCAAATTAGTGAGGTTCTTCAATTAAAGCTATTTCTATGTTTCCCACCTTTGTAGGGTTTTGAGAACTATTAAAAGGGTGTAATCTGTGGTGAGCAGGGAGCTGCCAGCCGGGCAGGACAGTGTTAGTCATCCTCTATGTAGACCCACATATCAGCAGTGACTCGCATGTTTTGCATATCAAGGACCCAGTGGGTGCTGCCAACCTTTTTCAAAGAACTGGCACAGGCCAGGATAATGCAATTCGGACTTCGACCTCCCTCCCAGAGGAAGAGGAAATGGTCTGGGTCACACTGGATCCCATATACCCCATCTGGACCCCTAAGGTAACCTCTGAGCCTTGGTGGGGTTTCCAAGCCTTTCCTCACCCCTGCTAGTGGCCTCTTCATGCTTCAGTAATTCCTGGCGACCCACTCCCTGGCTCAGTGCAGCATTGGGAAGAAGGCACAAGGCTCAGAGCTACCTTGGCAACTGTGCTGCTACTACGGAACTAATGTGACTTGGTTGCAAAGACAAGAAAATAAAAACACACCATTTGTCATATATTGATCTTAATTGGATACACAATGCCTTGAAAATATTCCAGCCACAGACTTGGCCTTGACCGTTTCACAGACCAACATCGTAAATCCAGCTTTCTCTTTTCTTTATTCCCAGACTTGGTCATCTTGGTTATTTTATCTGGCATGTTGACTCAAACCAACCAACCAGACAGACCCACTGAAATTGCCCCTGGCTCAGAGGCACACTGAGTCCTGTAACTTCTCATTGTACGTCATCTGAAGATAAGGCTCAGATCCGACCTTAGACATTGCAGTGGAAATGAGCCCTGTGGTCATATGTTCCTCTGAACTGAATTTCAGGTTGGACAGGGCGGGCCTCAGCAAGCTATAAACAGGGCTTTGTAGTCTCTTTTTCTTCCTGTGTTGAATTGGAACCAAAACTAAGGGTGCCACCCTTGGCTTCAGCCTGTTCCTGCCTCACCTCCACTCCCTCATCAGTTGTTCTCTCCCTCCTCCTCCCCACTTCTCACTCTTCATTCCCCAATGCAATCAGCTGGTTCTGTACTCTTGCCTTCCACCATTTGGTTTTCAGAGTCAAACCTGTTATACAGTCTGTTTTCTAACTGTCAAAATGACATAAAATCTCTACATTTATTTTATAGGCTTTTTCAGAGCCCAGGAATGACAACCACTTTTCTCAGTAACTGTAACATCACCCTGTGGCAGCTCTTGCTCCAGCTCAGAATGGCCTAGGAGAGCAAGCCCCAGGTTAAGAAGACTGGCCTGATCGAGGTGCAGACTTTTGTGCTAAATCCAGCTTACTGTATGTTCATGAGAAAAAGGGCCATTTCCCCAATGTCAGTGCACTCATTTGTGAAACGGAAGTGAGACTAGTAGCTGCCTGCCTTGTCTGAATCCTGCAGGGATAGGCTGTGATACTATTATGTCAAGTATTTACTATATAGGGCCAGGATGTAAACATTTGCTCAAGCAGTGTCAGCTATTGCTGCTATCATTTACTCCACAGAGGACTAAGGAAACATTGCTGGTGATGTCCACCAGAAAATGGGCCAGGGGGATGCCCATGTTCCTCACACTGTCCATCTCAGGAGATGCCGATGCTGAAACCAGCTTGGAGGAAATTGAGTTTTCTAATTAATTGCACAGCTTCTGCAGGAGACTTGGTAAAAATGTCTCCTAAGATGTTTTGAACTCATCCTGACCAGAATGGCATACAGAATCCATCTAAAGGTTGAAACTACTTCTCATCCTAAAAAAAGAGAGGCCAAGAAATATCATGTTTTCTTTAAATGGCTTTTCTCTCCATCCTTTCAGGATTCTCTTGTTCTACTGGATTTGACATGAAGGTGCATTTAATTCACTTCTGACCAACTAGCACAAGGACCAAATCCCTGCCTTAGCACCTACTGGATACCCAGAGGCACTCAACATACCTGTGAGCCAGTGCAGAGACCAAAGGCACAGGCCCCGGGTGTTCAACAAGTCCTGGCAG